AGCCAGCATCACTGGCTGGGGAATTCTGGGAATTGAAATCCACTCATCTTAAAGTGGCCAAGTTTGGACAACACTGGTATATACACACTATAATTGGCAGGTGAGGGAAAGAAAGTAAGCAATAAAGTCAAAAGGAAATGCAGAAGCTATGGAGAGTATTGATAGTATCCCTTGAAGATAGCCATGGAAGCCTGATCAATGCATATCATGCCATTAAAGACCAAAATGATGAAACAAATCATAGTGTTAAGAACTTGGTTTTGATTCATGCCTTATCTTTTCCCCATAGGCACTCAAAATAAATAACAATAAAGAAATACATACAATATCTGTCATAAAAACTCTTTTGAGTCCTTTCCTAAAAGCAAAAAACGTGAAGGCGAAGCACAGCTTGCCTAACTGGGCCTGTGTAAAATAGATTAAGAACAACAAAGGAGAAGGCACAAGGAATAGATTTTATTTATTGCTCCCTGGAAAGCAAAAATTATACAGATGGATTAAAGGCTCCAGTCAGCCTATTTTCTGTCATGTTGATTCAGCAAAGCATCAATACTCAATCTCAAAAGAGTCAGTTCAGTTAATTTTATTCTACTGCATACATCAAATTATGCACAGCAAAATATGCGTATCAGGCCAGCCCTACCATTAGGCAGAGTGAAGCAGTTGCCCTAGACTTCAGTTGCTAGAGGGAGGGAAGAAGCAGTGGTAAGGTACTGAATTTCCATACAGCATGTCTTGCATCTCCCAAAGGTTGCCTCTGCCTCCTTGGCTGTCCCCTTCCAGTTATATTAAGAAGCAATTGTTGGCATTTATAGCTGAACACTTTCAGAGGAGACAGCTTTGGAAAATATGGGACACAACATTACATCTGGCTGCTTCTGAAAAGAAACAGCCAAGTTATTTAGGGCGAACAGATATTCACACATGGTTTTCTGCAGTAGAACGGTACCATCAGAAAATGCCAACTGCTGGTGCCTCACATCTTAATTGTTATAGCATGCAATCTTCACAATGTGAAGATTCCTCAACTCTTAAGGCTTGCATGTGCTCAATGGAACTGAATGAACCAAGTAAATTGAATTTAAATGGACAGGGTAAGAAATCTTGTAACATTTAAAAAAAACCAATAAACAAATTACATGACATAAGCTTTGAAGATTAGAGTCCTCATATGTACCTGGAAATATCTTATATATAACTGGTTTATACATCACATGGATTGAGGACCTTCAGTCTGCAGGCCCGATCTGGCCCATCAGGTTAGGCTGTGATTATATTACTAGCTGATAGAGAAATAAGTCAAGAATTTAGTGTGAATGCATTTGTGTCATTTTGTTAGACGTGCAAGCAGTAGCAACTCTAAGCTATTGCTCAGCAGAGAGGCTTCAGGTTGTTCAACCCAGTTCTACTAAAGTAAAGAAGTATATACTACTATATTATTTTTAAGTAATATTAATAAGAAAACAACTATTTCAATAAAACCCCTGGGATATGATGTGGAAAACATAAATGAGCACAGCCAGAATTCTATGTGTGGCTTCTGCTTTCACAATACAGACATACTACTACTCATTATGAAGTGCATTTGGCAGCAAACATCATATCTACTCATGCAATAAGAGTTTTACATATTGCTCTGCAACATTTGAAAATACATATTTCAAAACATAATACATTGAGTGTGTGTGTATTCTCAAAAATAGAGGACCTTTTCTATGTTGTTGCCTCTACTCTGGAAAATCCCTAGAGGATTTTCATGGCACCGTCATTGCAATCTTTTGAAGCATTTCCAAAATGCATGTATTTTACCCTAGTGTTTCAGCATCCAGAATCACTTTATTGTATTTTTCCTAGCATTATTACTGGGATGATGGTTATCTTTAGACTCCAACAGATTTGCAGAGGTTTACAACATATGAAATCCATAAAACATTAAAAAAAAAAAAGCAAACTAAAATCTGAATCCAAGCTTCCCACACCAGAAAATTCCTCAGGAGTTTGGCTTTGACTGCCATCCCAAACGTAGTAAAAGAGGGTACCCTTTGGATCTCCAGAAGTGAGGGGTTCTATAATGAGAGTGGGGAGGAGAGGGAGAAAACAAGAAACCCTGGGCTCTAGTACCCCCTGACCCTGGTCTCATTCGGGACAGGAATTCTCCACATGCTGCTCTTGGCAGAACCTTCCAGATGAGATGATTCTCCCTAAAAGAAGGTGGTCCTGCAGATACCCAGATGCAAAGCCATTATAGGCTTTATCAGATAAAACCTGTATGTTTGATTTTTAGTGTCTGTTTGTTGCAGCCGAAGTGGGAAAAGAATTCATTTGAGATCAAGCACTTCAAGCTGGGGAAAGTAAGAAACAGAAGTAATAGCTCCAAGGTAGAGTATCTACTTTACATGCAAAATGTGATAACTTCAGTCCTTTGCATCTCCAGCTTTAAAAGGTAGGGAAAGCATGCAGAGACTGGCTTCTGGGATTTTTTCCAACCCTTTTACCTGGAGTGGCCATAGGGGGTTTCTGTATTTTCTTCTGTGCAACGAAGTAAAGTTTGTGTCTATGTTTGTGCCCTTTTCTCCCCAGGAACTAATCTGGACGTGGGCATAAACACACTGTATGTGATGTGCATGTAAGAGAGAGAGGGAGAAATGCTAATCTGAGCAGGTGCATATACCTGGCTTCTGTGTTTCTGCTGTTCCATCATGTTGCACTCAAGCTTATGTGCGTATGGGTGCACTAGGAAGCACAGCACAGGTTGCACACTTTGCTGTGGATCACAGGACCAGGATGGGGGTTTAGAATGGCACAGATGGCAACATTCAAGCTGCTGTCTCTCCTAGAATGTTTTGAGGATTTTTTTTCTGGAATATTTTTCTCTAGAGCCTCCACCAGATCTGGTCCATTTGAAAATGTGGTGGTGCTTCTGCTTATTTTTCCCCCCAAACCAAATTTGTCCTGTTCTGTTTTCAGAGTTATCCTGCTGACAGACAAATAGATTGACAGAGTCCCAATCCCCTTAATTTCTTTCCATCATTCCACTGGGTTAGAAAGAATAAAGAGAGTCTTGGGAGAGACTCTCTACCTGAGATTCTGAATCAGGGCCAGGTAACCTGTGTACTAAATGTTGCTGGACTGAAACTGTCAGCATCTTTATCCTAGTGATGCTGCCAGGAATTTTCCTTCAGCAACTTCCTGAGACCTCTAAGTTCCCCATCTCTAGGCTTGAGAACTACTGCCAAGCAGGAAATATACCAGTCTAGAGGAACAAATTGCCTGATTTTTGACAATTTCCTCTGAGCAGAAAATCTGTCTCTAACTGTTCTATATCTGATGTTGGCAAACCTTCTGCTTGTTACTCTGAAGAGCAACTTGGTGATGTATTATGGTTCAGCTCCCATAATTTTCAGTCAATATTTCCATCCTACCTCGGAATTATGAGAATTGATGAAAGTCCAAAAATTCTAGGGAACATAAAACAAAAGCTCTAATTTTTTTTTAACATCACAAGATACTGATTGGCATTCATGTACCCACTGTTGTGTTGTTTCTTAGCTTGGATACTGCAGTGTTGCCCAGAAGTCCTTTGTGCAATTTATTTAGCTCATATGACTTATATTTATAACTTTTTCTTAGAGTTGCTATGGTTTCCATTACATTCATCCCCAGCTCATTTTTCTTTATCTCCATCATTGCAATGTCCTCTTCACTACAATCTTATGTGTGATTTCTTTTTAGTTATAATTTGTGTCATTCTAGACCAGTATGGACAAAAGATCCTCATTAAGCCAATGGTAGCAGAAAAAGCATTAGAACAGTAAAAGGATTAAAACAGTAATTTCAGGCAACCAGAATCATAAAAGGCAACACTCTGGCCCGTTCATTGACCAAATCTAGAAAAGTAAGAGAGACTGGTTTCTTCTAATTAAAACAATGTCACTTGTGATTTGTGTATCATTATAAACTGCAGCACAGTAGTATATCGCAACTGTATCTCTTTTGTTAAGTAGTTGAGAAGCTCAAGGGGAGGATCTGATTTTGGAACTGCTTCTCTTTAAATATAATTTTCAAATAAAATAATAATCAAAACTACCAACAGTTGTTAAAGAAGAATAATACACATACATATATTGTTTTTCTGCTACAAAACAGACTGTTTTATAGCATCACTGCTGTAATCTAAACTGCAGTCTTTAACAGTTGCTATGAAGTTTAAGAAAGTAATTAAAAATCACACATTTAATTACAGGTTTCCTGCCCAATATCTACTTCAGCCCCAACTTACTTTTAACAGACATACTGTGAATTATCAACAGCTTTAAGAACATTAATTCTTGGCTCAGCAATTTATTCATTAGTAATTTTAGGCATATTGTTTCTCAGCTGAACTTTGTTAGCTCTGTAAGATAGAACTGCAGAACAACAAAGGGGAGAACAGGAGTGAACCATTCTAAACACTAACATGGAATAAATGTTTAACAGCTCTAAATGATACTGTAGGTTTAAGAAATTGAGTATGTTTTATGAAAATGTTGAAAGTGGCAATCCCATGCAAATAAGGAAAAAAGTGTTCTTGGCATTTAATAATATTAAAAATCGTTCTGTAATTTTTCACAATAAAATTCACAATAAAAACTAGTATTGGTACTTAAGTTATTCTTTCCATTCCACACTGATACACTTCCAAATTGTTCTCAAGACTGCACTGAAAATTCAATAATAATAATAATAATAACAACAACAACAACAACAACAACAACAGTCAGTTGCAAAAGACAGCTTTACTTGGAACAGTTTATATCCTGCGACGATATCATTAACACCATCAAACAACATCTGCCCATCCCAGCTCCTTAGGAAGGACTTGATAGGTGAATAAAAATGCCAGATCCAGTCTAAACAACTGGCTAACTGTGCGAATAATAATAATAATAATAATAATAATAATAATAATAATAATAATAATTTTCATTGGATGTTCCCATTAAAGGATCAAGAAGAGTTTTCAGATTAAAATCAAAAATTTAAAGTACCTTTCGTCGTCAGAAGTAGAATAGCTGCAGTGAGACTTCAGAGAAACTGCTGCACCTCTCAGTGCTGAATTAGTATTTAATAGTGCTCCCTGCTCCAACAAAGAAATACTGATACCCATCTTCTCCTATCATCCCTGTAGCAAGTGACTAAAGTGGTAATCTAGCACATCTGGAGTACACAATTGGATTTCCAGAAAATAAAACAACAGAGCAATCCAAATCAACTGGGAGAAACTAGCAAAGATTGCCAAATCCAGTAGGTAGGTAGGCAGGTAGAATTTTGAGAATGATTTTTACCTTTAACATACAAGTACTTTGTGTTCAACTTAATTATTTATTGTGATATCTAGCATTTTTTTTAAAAAAATTAATGTGCATGTATTCTCAATAAATTATCATGCTGAAATTATCATGCTGATATTTTAGGATTCCAAAGATTTCATCTATCTATTTTTGTCTATTTCTGAAGTACAGAAAATGTGACAGCAATAAAGCATGCAGTTTCTTGTAAAGAAAAACAGCAGAGGGTCCTAAAAGAGTTTTATGTTTCCCATGACAGTCCTTATTTTCCTTGCAAATTACAATGCCAAGTCCACTTTCTTCACACAGGAAAACAATAAATGGATCTAAAAAAGGTTATGCTGTTAAAACTGGAAAATTTGGTGAGATACTGATTCCCTCATATGCTTCCAGAACATCACTGCCAACTCAGCTACAGCAGGAGTGCAAAAGCTGTCCGCAGAACAAAAACTGCCACATGAAAGAAAAGTGAGTCATCATTAGGACATTTATTATGATTTCTTCTGTTCAAGGTAAAAGCTGCCTTTTATTGGAAATGAACACAATGTACCATTCACAGTCTTGACACAAGATGACTTTCTATTTAAATTTCAAGAATTCTGGCTTGAACTGAATCATCTTGTATATGCTCATGCTGCTTGATCATTCCCACTTGGCTCCTCCTCAAATGGGTGTGGCTAAACAAAACAGGAAATCCATCTATGGTTTGTTTAGCATTATGTTTGTTTAGCACTGATTGGTATCTTGGCTTTTTCTTCTAACAAGCCAAAGAGATAGACTAGAAAAAAACAAACAAACCTGGATTATGCTTATGGCTTTTAAGAGAAAGAGAGGACAACAATCCCCAGTTCTCATGTAAAGCTAAATCACAGATAGGACATTCTGGTTTGTTTATCTGCTTCCACTGGGAGGAGGAGCCAAGCACCAACAAGCTTTCTTGATTACTTACATTTAATATTATGTGGAAACTGGTGTAATGTGTTGTAAACACAACCTGCATAGTTTGTCATACGTAGTATAATAGGTCTCTCCCCATCTGAGCACTTTCTCTTCCTTACTGAGCCAAACCAAATCTGTCTCAGCTATTTTATCTTTCTGCTAGGAGGAACAGCATTGTATAAATAAAATATTATTAATATTTATCTACAACTGTAGACATGCCCAAAAATTCTGTCAAAAAGTTGGTTATCAAAATGTATAAGTAATTACACATGAAATCGTTGTAAAGCAAATAAAAGCTAAGTGTTAACTGTTTGGTAGTTTACGTGGGAATTAAACTAAATTAAGCTGAACCTAAAATACATCAACAAAGAAGAGATACCAGCTAATTAGAGGTTCCATCAGTCACTATCAATTATGATCATTCTTAATATATGCTGGGGAGGGAAGGCAGAAAGACTGCCAGAGATCTGTGTATCTTCCACTTTGCTTACTGGCGTCAAAAATGACAAAAAACGGGCAGCTTTGGGGCAATTCCTCCAAATGCAAAGATACAGAGCATTTAAATACTTATCTGACAACAAAACCTTAAGTTTGGATTTTCATAACTTCTTGAAACTCATGGGATGCAATCCCTCTGACTTGCAGACAGCTTGGTTTGGAATTCCCAATCCATGTTAACTTTTCTAGAAACATATTCAGAACCAAAACCTGGCAGGAATTTGTATCACACAACTTTCTTCAAAAATAAATAAATAAATAAACAAACAAACCAGATCCACCCATACAGAGGATCACTTCAAGATTTCAACTGTACTTCATGTCTGCACAGATCTCAAAGACAATGACACTGTTTTGTAACACTTTCCACGTACACTATTAAAATATTGTTAGGCATGAACATAAATTGCTACATCTGGGAATAGCATAATGTTTTATAAAAACCAATGACAAATACTAAAAGAATTGAATTTTTTTTAAAAAAGGAGAGGGAAGAGAGTATTTCTGGATTTCAAGAATGACAATTCTATAGCTTCAAGTTTAGAGTGTCACTGTGTTCCAATTCAATATCCTATATTGCAAACACACAACTAGTGTTCCTAAAATATAATTCAGAAAAAGATGAGTGTAAAAACCAGCTAAGCAAAACCTTGCAATGGCTAGTTAAATCACTAGTCATTGGAATATACACACATACAGTTTTAGAATGGCTAAGATAGTTGAAGCACTGATATTTACCTTGCTCACAGTGGTATATAGAAATTGCTATGGATTTATATCAGAAACAAGAGCAACAGTGGTCCTGAAATTTCAAATAACAAAGTATAATGCAAGAACTCAGATCCCAATGCTTCTGATTTTGATGCAGCAACTGAGCTAATTGCATTTAATCCACTTGCTACAGTAAACATCCACAGGACAAAACTGATATGCATATTTCTACAAGTGATGGATATGATGCCAAAGAGCTGTGTTTGGAGACATACATTTCCTTTCACAACTTCCAGGTGTGCTAGGACTGCAACTACCAGAATTCCTAGCCTGCCTGTCCAAAGATTTCTGGAAATTCTGGGAGATGTAGTCTTGATATATCAGGAGGGCAGCAGATAGGGGAAACTAAAACAGTTTTGCCTTATTATTGGATTCTAGCAAATACCACTGTAGCCATAGCAACCTGAACGCAGCATAAAATGATCCCCAATATTTTCAGTCTAGATCATACTGATAATCTCTGCATAGAAGGGGAAAAGACAAAATAAAAACCCACATTCAAGGAGGTCAGGATCTGATGCTAATCTGACAAACAATACAGCCTAACATCAAGGATGCATTATTTTAATTTCTTCCCATCCAATCTCATATCTGATTAGCAGATAAAACTATATGGACAAAAATAGGACACTGGCATTTACTGTTAAAGTGCAGACCATCAAAACTACACAAGGATTCCCTCACTCTGCTTATCAGTTCAACATTCTTCTATGGAATACTACAACCTCATTGTATTGCATTTTCATTTGTTCCCTCAAAGTGCAAAAAGAAAAAAAAATTAAAAAGGAATCTTGTCCATAAGAAAAACACAAGCCTAAAAGGTTTCAGAGTCCTTCCAACATTTTATAATTGAAAATCTGAAATCCTTCATAAAGAGTTGTCTTCAGGATTAAGCGGATCCAAACTCTGACATCCACTTCTCGTACTTCTCCAGATCTGCGGCTGAAACTGACTTGGAGATTTTCTTCAGAGCCAAGTCAAAGTCCCCTTTGGTGACAGGCATCTGAAGCTCTTCTTTAGAGAGAGCACGGATCTCTTCTGGTGACAAGCCGTTAATGCGGCGCCTCATTGCCATCAATGAGGCATCCCTAACAGCAAAAGAAAGTACATAAACACTACATATTAGTAAGGATGTATAACAGTAAGACTGAAATCACCATTTTACTTATTCATGACAGTTTTTTGCATTGTCAGTAAGAATTCTATTAAATTTCATTTCTTGCATTTAAAATCAACAGCATAAAAACTTGCATTTGTTTACACATTTTCTTTAAAGCATGAATTCTTGTATGGCTTATCTCCTTAAATTTTGTAATTTTCCAAGCCCAAAATAGGACTGCAAAATTTGAATAAGTGTACATCCTGAAAGCTGATTGTTCTAATTGGGATTTTAGTCCAAGTAGTTAATAAGGAACCAAATAGATTTCTATTTATAAGTTGCAAATTCCCAACAGGAATAGGTAAAGCATTTATCCTGTCTATCTGCTTACCTCCACGTCCAATATAGAATCAAAATATATGATTCTACATTAGATGTGTTCAAGTAGAGGCTGGACAGCCATCTCCACAGCTGTAGTGGGGGGGGGGCAAGGGGTAGAGCAGGTGGAGGATTAGAGTCCATGGTCTAAATCAGTATTCTGGGAGTTGAAGTTCACACATCTTAAAGCTGCTGAAATCGAGAAACACTGGTCTAAATGGTCCCTTCCAACTCTATGATTTTATAATCAATCCCTCTTGACAAGGTTGGCTTAGTTGTCTTCAGGAGCTAAAGATGATACAACACAAAGGATGTTTTGATATGAAAATCCACCAACATATCTAGCAAATAGGCAGACGTAATGAAAGCTATACAGCAACTGTTCTGTAATAATGTATAGAAATGTTACAGCAATTATTTAGATCACGAACTAAAAGGCAGTTTAAATTCTATCACCCAAATGATTCTCCATTACACTATGCAAAAAGATCATAATCTGGTTGGAAAATCAATTTAGTATACATAGTTGGATACAGAATATTAAAAGAAGCCTTCTGCACTTCCTTCTGGGCATCTTATCTTCCTCAGCAATTCTTTTACATCACAGAACTGTTGCTAATACTGTATGTCAAAGAAAAGGGCCAAAGATGATGCAAACTGGAGAAGGACACCTACCAGAAGAACAAAACAGCACAAATACCAGCTTTACATGTAAGCCGACCCATCAGATTACACTCCTTCAAACAGTTTTAGGCTTATTATGCTGCCCTAGAAGGTGTCTCTTTCTACTGCCACAGACACTGCCACTTGCCACTGGGGACTTTTCTTCTTTATAAAACTAGACAGTGCTATAGACCAGTGTTCTTCAACCTTAGCAACTTTAAGATGCAAGCTAGCTGGGGAATTCTGGGAATTGAAGTACACACATCTTAAAGTTGCTAAGGTTGAGACACACTGCTATAGACAGAATTAAAATTCAGCCAGGCAGCCTTGCCAGCACTGGAGACTTAGCAAATACTTGACCCACTCCTCAAATATATGCAAGCTAAATAGCAGAGTTGCCTAATCAAATATTGTGGCTGCTGTGACATCTGCCTATTCACAAAATGACTGAGGATGGTGGGCATGACAAATCACTAAATATTCATCTGTCAGAAGGCAAACTGATGAGATTTGTTCTCTATCTTCCCCTCTAGCACTTTCACTTAGATGTTCAATATCACCCCAATTTAATTTTTTTTCTGTGCATGTGGGCACATTTCCAAACAAGCACTGTTGAACAGCCACCCATTATTTTTTACTTCACAACAAAATGTTAGGCAGCCTAAATATATTCTTAGAAATAAAAATGCTGGCTAGAAATTAGCACTTTGCAATATGCCCATTTTATGTTTTCATTAAAAGAATCTGAAGAAAAATAATTAGATGGGGCAGGAAACTTTCTCCAGTGGTATCTTCTTGTCCCATATACTCCATCTGGATGGGCACGCTTCAGGTGCCTTTTCTGAAGCAACGTCATCCAATGGGACCTAGAAAGCATGACTCTTCCACTGCAGCGCCTGCTGTCTGGAATGATCTCCTCTGATCCTGCTGACCTTTAAAATAACATTAAAAACATGACTCTTTCCTCTGAGGCTGACTGGAGTTCCCACCTGGAGGGGTGTAATGTATATTGTGGATTCCCAATCACCTATTAATTGTTAATTGTTGTGATTTTAATTGTAATCTTGTTCACTACACTCTGCCCAGTTCTATTTCTTGTTCACTGCCCAGCGTCACAGTTGTTGAGATGGACAGCCATATAAATATTATCAATCAATCAATCAATCAATCAATCAAAAAAGGTGCCCGGGGAACCATAATTTGAAGTGGAATTCTAGGGACCAAGTTGAATGCTCCTAACCCAAAGACACCTTCCCATGGAAAACAAAGCACCTGCTCAGCTATATGGTGTCATATTGGGTCATTGCCCCATTACGTAACACTTTCTCAGGAAAACTACACCATCAGCTTAGCCACAGGACATTCAGAAGGCCAATGAATGATGATAAGTTTGGAAAAAAATACTGGAAGGGAGCAGATCTCTGGGAAAGCAAAAGAAAGTAACTCTCTAAAAAGAAACTATGTTCATGGAATAACTGCCTCTTTCTCCCTTCAAGGCCCTGCTGTCTTTGTAGTCCTGTCCCATTACCTCATAGTTATACCCTAATGGCCTCACTAACCTAACTAAGCACATGATATGTTATAGCCACTAAAATGCCTAGCTGCTATATCAAATCACATTCTAATTTGCATAAGTCTATAAAGAGGGACTATAACTCCAGCTCTCTTTAGGCTGGTCTTTTACTCCACGCTGTCAGTGATCCAATTTGTCTTCCAGTGTAGTGCATCTTGGTCTCCAGTTTAAATGAAGCCCTTTGAGGGAAAATATTTCTTACTGCAATGGGCATTATTGGACATTATACTGCCTACCTGGTACTTAAGAGTACTTTTTTTTTAGATTTTTTATCCCATCTTTATTTTGTTTATAAATAACTCAAGGCAGAGAACATACCTAATACTCCTTCCTCCTCCTATTTTCCCCACAACAACAACCCTGTGAGGTGAGTTGGGCTAAGAGAGTAACTGGCCCAAAGCCACTCAGCAGGTATTATTACCACCCAGTATTAGAAATACAATGAACATAAATGCAAGCAATATATAGATGACAGAATATCTGTAGCAGGAAACAAGGCCTTTTTCACTAGAAGTGCACAATATTAGGAAATCCTCTCCTGGGGCAAATGGTGGAAGTGAATTAAGACCAAGGACTTTAATGGGGATTATTGTTACTCAGTATTGTACTTGTCACCCATGTATGAACCCTGAAAAAAAATATGCCGTATCTCCAATGAACTCCATTTGCTAGCCACAAACATACTACTTGACAAAATGTTAATCTCAACAATTTCAATGACTCTGAGAAGCCATTTTATAATTCAGAACATGGAAACAAACTCCTGTTAACAAGCTCAAACCATTTTGGCTTTAGTCATAAAATATTCTGTTAATCTGACCATCCTTTCATTTTCAGCCTTGAGAAGGTTTAACGGTAAAAACTGAGTTAACCTGTTACTCTTCCACCTGTTTTTGCAGTATGAATTCAGTATTTCACTGAGTGAGTAATGAAGTAGTATCTGCAGAGGATTAAAGATAAATATTTCATTTATTTTTCAATTGTATCTAACCAATATTTTGGTGAGCTTTGTGTTTCTTCAGAAACTTCTTAGAGATCCCTCAGTTAGTAGGGAAATACAGAGAACTACTGAATATACTTCACTGACAGTTCAGAATAAGCAAGAATAAGGCTTAGTAAGCTTGTTCAACATCCTTTGTGTAGAAAGAGAATATCCTAAAAAATCCCAAAGATTTTCTGTACCACCTTGAGATTATATGAAAAAAAAAAAATACTGGTTCTTCTGCAAAAAGTGAGATTGAAGGAATTTCCAGAAAAGTATGAAAAAATGTAAATTCTGAAAGATTCAGAGATCAGCAATGTTCTTGGAAAAGGGTGTTGTATATTCTAACCAGTCTAGACAGGAAAGCAGGATACCTGCAGACGTTAGTGATATCAGCACCAGAATAGCCTTCAATCTTCTCAGCAATTTCTTCCAAACTAATGTCAGGATCCAGTTCGACTTCCCGAAGATTAATCTTAAGCAGCTCTACTCTGCCTTTTGCTGTAAAAATAAAGTCATCTGATTAGAGGAAACTGACAAACAAGTCAACATTTCTACCACATTTAAAGTTATAATTTGGTTTTCTCTGGAGGAAAAAAACTCTTAATCAAAGGAGTTCTGCAAGCAATTTTGTTAATGGCTCTCGAATACTCTTCCCTAAATTGGTGCTCTTTAGATGCAATGTTACTACAGAGGCCACATAGGTTGCATGCTTGGAGAGAAAGTCCCAAATCCAATGTGAGTAGATTGGACGTGATGATTATATCTTAAAACTATGAAGTATATAACAATGTTTCAGGAAAAATAATAGGTAGCTTTGTGTATTCACCTAGGGTTATCTAAAAACAGATAGGTTCTTTTTTTCCCTTTATTTAAATTTATTAACAATGAACATTACAGTGGAGTATATATAGAGAAACAAACCTTATAACCTTATTTAATTAGATTATCTAGGAATCTGGTACTGGGTAATAGACAATTGTTCTGCCTGTGTTGTACATAATTAATAAGTTTAAACCAGATGAAGTAAAAATAATCTTCTGTATTAGTATGATGGTCTTTTTTGGGGGGGGGTGTCAGTTTTTCCATTAAAGCTATTTTCCAGCATATTTGCCACCAGATAAAAAAATTCAAACCCTTTCATGTTTTCCAGGATCTTGTTACTACCTTTCTGGCTATAATAAGAATAAGATCTATATAATAAGATATACAATAAGATATATAGAATAAAATAAATAATAATACATAATAAAATAATATAACATAATAAAATAACAATAAAATATATAATAAGGTATACAATAAGAAACGATCACCTTTGATACTGGTTATCTTCATCATAAAAGCATGATGAAATATAAAAGATTGAAGCAGTAAAAATTTTCTAAATTTGAAAATATTCAAAAGAAATGGTTTCTGAGTAAGTTCCAGTTCCTGAGAAATATTTTCATGAAAAAGAAGTGCCCTAATTTTCACTGACAATATATTCATACATTCCATTTTTAGTCATGGTGTTAATTCTTCTGAATTTATCAACCTAAAAATGTTTGTAATTAGCATCCTAATAAGATTTAATATTTGGAATTCCAAGGCTGCCTTCACTGACATTTTTACAGAGAATCTTTGAATTTATTCTTGCTTTTTTTGCCCAATATGTATAAATTTATTAAACATTTTCTGCCATTTTTTTCAGGGATATATATGTATATGTTGAAGGGGAGGGTGTTTGAGAAAGATATAAAAATCGAGAAAGTAGTGACATTTTTACTGCTCCTATTTAACCAACACTATAATTTTAATTTTGACCACTCTTTCAAGTAATGGTTTCAAGTTCAGTTGAAATAATTACAGGTAGTCCTCACTTAACAACCATTAATTTAACAACAGTTTGAAGTTACGACAGCCTTGGAAAAAGTGCTTTATGACCTGTACTCAGAGTTAGGGTTAGGGTTAACCCATCGCAAACCGTTGCATCACCCCCCCAATGTCACGTGATCACAATTTGTGACCTTTTTATGAGAGTTGTAAAGTGAATCATGTGGTGGTTAAGCGAATTCCAGCAAAAACTGTCCAATGGGGAAGCTGGATTTAATTAACGACCACATGATTTGCTTAACAACCATCGTAAAAATGGTTGTAAAATCAGGTCTGGTCACAAGGTGACTCGCTTAATGACTGCTCTTAACAACCAATTTTCCAGTCCCTATTGTGGCCTTTAAGTGAGAACTACCTGTAGTTCAGATTTTTAGGAATGGGAAACCCTATATATTTAAAACAGCATTTACAGTTTTTAATTCCTGATTTACATAAAAAGTTTTGCACTGTCATAGGTGTATTTACACACATATATTCTTAGAAAAATGAATACTTAAATCTGCTAATTTGCAAAAATTGCAAAATATTAATAATTCTGGAAAATGTCTTAAGGGGATTTGATACAATCAATGCAAATCAGTGTAGTAACATACAGATACATGAATATATGAATATATTAGAATCATTTATCATATCAGGACAGATACAGAATTCCTCATCCCATCAACAGTAACAAATGTGAAATGGGGGTGGGGAAATTCAGAGTCCTCATGTGGGAAGGAATCTTAAGCGCTGTAGTGAGACAATCCGTCTTGCAGTATAAAAAATATTAGAACTTTAAATGATGCAAGCTACAAATGTTCCAGTCCTAAAATGGTTGTTCTGAATGATTCATGTTTAGTACAACACACCTATATTCCAAAAGTTCTGCACCAGCTTCAGAATAAAATACTGTTGTATTTAAGCTCAAGCAGTGGTGTTTTGAACGTTGAGGGTTTTTTTAAATTAAGTGTCCAATGAATCAACAAAACATTGAAAATAAATCACAAAAGAACAAACATTAACATAGAAGAGTTACTATGTAAAACCAAAAAACTGCATGGTCTGGGAGAGTTTATAAATATGCTCCTAATCATAAGGAAAGACTGAAGATGTTAATCAATCATGTTCCATATTGCTATCGACAAATGTAATCTATTAGGAATTATTAGGAATTAATTTGGTAATATAACCTAAACACAGAGACAAAATAAATAAAACAATCTTTAATTAAGGTTTCTTCAAAACTCACTGCTGCTGTGATAATATATCACCCAATGTTACTTCCCACATTTTAAAATTCCATTAATCCAGAGAAAATTGTATGCTAGCATGCCAAATTTTGCTACAGTATATCTGGCAGTCAACAACAAATAATTTTTGAAGCTTTTGTATGTCCCTGGAAAAATGGACAACAAAACTAAAATATCAATAATTATTAAGGACAGTGGGAATACTGCACATATTATTCCATAATATAACATAACTGCAAATGGTTTGCCTGTGTGAGCTTGTTTTAAAAAAATCAGTATAACTAGTAAAATTGCAGGGCCAAGACCAGATGAGAGGAGAAAGAATGGTGGGTGAAGAAGAGGCAGCAATTATTTAAGCAGTTATGGTTAGAGATACTTGTGCTGGCCCTGTCATGGACTCATCTAGGTCAAATTGAGTTTTATTGACATTCAGAAACAATTCAGGATGGCCAGTCCCAAACATAAAACTGACAAAGATCATTATCTACTTTCTGCCTGCCTTTTGCTGTGTTTATTTTTAATTGCTAAGAAGTTAAGAGTTCGTGGATTATATGTTGTACATCCAATTTTAAAGAACTACCCTGGTAGAGAGCACAATGTCTATCTGTCACTGCTGCTATTTGACCAGGACCCTGACAGATCTTCCCAGGTTGTCTGATTTTGTGCTATCATTTGTTGTATCCATCCTACCTATGGCTGACGTTTAGCACAAATTTGATCACCACTGCTATTTGTACTACAGTTACTATAGTAATATATTTCATGTAATTTTATTGCGTTTTTTAAGTTTTGTAATAATTACAGGTCTATGTATTTTATTGTTGTGCTTTCTGGCCCAAAGGCCGTAATAAAGGTTTGATTTATGTTCTTGTGCTCCATGCTGCACCTTGTTTTGCAGGCATGTAACCATTAGGCAAATGCATGGTCTGTGCATTATGTAAGTCTTGTTAATAAAGCTATTGAAGTTTTCAGGTTGTAAGTTGCAAAATGCAGATTGTACACTTTTGTTGAACTTTGGGGTATGTGTGTGTGCGTGTGTGTCCTTGTTGATACTGTGCTTTCCAGCTGCATGTTAAATGTAAAAAATTTGTCTGCTTTGGTTTGTTAAACCCCTGTGGCAGGTTGCCAAATGACCAAGTGAATATTGTGTTGAAAATTTGGAAGAGAAAAAAGCTTTAGCCCAGTAGTTAGAAAAGTGTGCTTTTCTTGCTGTTGTTCATGAGCTTTTCTAAAGTGAATTATTCTACATGTTGCTCTTTGTTGGGTTCTATGGATATCTGTGCTGGGAAACAAGTGTGCTTAGCCTGTTGTTTCTACTGTTTCTTGCAGGAATTTTAAAAATATATCCTTTAAAAAAAAAATCACCCTCTTGGTCATTTTTTTCTGTGGATCAGGAATTAGGCAGCAGTCAGATGGATTACCACCCTACCTACTTTTGTGACCCTAGGGTAAAAAAAAAGGGAGCAATGCACTTGTTTCAGCTTCTCACTATTCCCTACTTGAAACACTCTTAGAGGTGCTTTTTCATTAGAACCAATTGAAAGCATTTCAGTGGAATGTAAGGCTGTTTGTCCAAAGCTTGAAACAAAATGCTTTTTTTTTTAAATGCATATCCCTAGCAAGGAGGAAAAACAAAGGTTAAGAAAGTCTTCCTTTCCACCAAATTTCATTAAACTGCTGTCACTCTGTGTTCTTATTTAGAGCCAAGTGGAGAGAAGCAGGTAGCATACCACTCTAAATCAAGAGAAGAAAAGCTATACAAACCTAAGATGATACAGAATCTTGAAGTTAATAGTAGTTCTGACTGACAACCTGGAGAGTCATTCTACAATGAAGCTTCCTCAAGCAGGGGAACAAATCAGCCAACCACTCTATGAAGAGCTCAAAATCTAGTCATAAAGTTCAGGCAGGAGTTGATTTACAACATGGCAAGCTTGAAAGTGAAAATTAATGGCCCTGCTTTTCTGTGTTCAGCAATAGGCACACGGGAATGCACTGGCAATATTTCTTTAAAGATGTCTACAAGGCTCAATCTGTGCTCCTTTAAGGATTGCCTGTTAAACATTCAAAAAAGTTTACAAGTTCATTAAAAAGCTTGATCCCTCTCACTGGGTCTACATTGAAAGACTGCTACAGCTCTTTTATTCTGCAATCTCCAGCAACTTTTTACTTTATTCCCAATGATCAGGAGAATTATTAATGCCTGAAAATCCAATGTTGCTGCATAAATTTCAATGTGTTCTTTAACAGCTCCCGGAGGAAGTGTCAAATAACAAGTGCCAGACAAGCACATTTAAAAAGAAAACCCACCTGTTGGCAAAGGTATATAAATCCTTTTCTCCAGCCTCCTTCTCAAAGCCTCATCGATGTCCCAGGGAAAATTTGTAGCAGCAAGCACCATCACCATTCTTGCAGGATCATCATTCTCCAGAGCTCCACCTACACCTAAAGGAGCAATAATAGAGCTACAGTACATGGGTTTTCTATTGTTGTTCACTTTAATTTGAGGTTTTACATGCTCCATACTCTGAATCTTTGAAGAAAAGAGAAGTGAGATCTTAGTTTCAGCAGCACCACATATTGTAGGGAAAAATGAACAATAAGAGACCCCACATATTTAGGAAGGGCAAAGAAATCTCAGGGGCCAGTCCTAAGCGCAGCAGGAAAGAAGAGACATAATATAATATCTATTTCTTTCAAAGCTTTATTAGCTCGTGCACTGTGAATGAGATCCCTACATTTTCCATGCCTTTTCAAGCTGTTTTTTAATACCCTCTGGTTTCAGAAATAACAAGGGAAATACATACACAGCCTGAGGGTGATGTACCTGAAATGCCTTGGATCTGAGAGAAGTTGGAGCAAAATCCACAGATTAAGTCCCACCACCACCACACCCCATTTGAAAACAACCCTACCAACTGCAGGCAGAAGAACTGGCAGAAGATTTTCAACTGAAAGTTCTCCTTGGGTATAACTGGCTATTGTTCTTACTCTAACTGCCAGGAGTGTTGTTTTGCACTATAAAGCCATTGGTATCATTTTGCGGTCTAACATATGTTCAAAAAGCCATTGGATTCAAATGCACAGAGTTTTTGGAACAAAAAAGCCATCATGAGTTATCACAGGATGTTAAAACATCAATTAAAAAAGTAATGTGGGGGCAAATGTCAGAATTTGTCTCAAAACCACATTAAGAATCGTAACATTAATTTTCAGCAAAATACAAGTAACTATGATTAGAAATTTGTGATTAAATCATTTGTGATTTCTAAAAAACAAGTATGAGCATCAGGGCTCCCTGAGCAATTCTAATAGCTTTAGGAAACAGCACAAGAAAAAACAAAGATAAACATGACCATTACCCTTCCCCTTCTCCCCCACCTCCCACCTGATCTTCAGAGCAACCTCTTGAGCTTGTTAATTATAGAACAACAAAAAGGCACAGGAAAACTTAACCATAGACTTTCTGCATCATTTTCACTGTAGTCTATTTTATTGTGATGATTTTAATGCATATTTTATTATCATTTTTATAAAAATACTTCAGTAAAATAAACCAAATGGTAAAATGTATCTCATTTGTAATTTCTCTACAGTTGTGTAGGTCTTCCTTTTTCCAACTTCTCTCTGCCCTGATTTATCTACATTATTCTTATACCATCCAAGTGCCAAGTACTAACCAAACCTCACCCTGTGTCTTTCCGACACTGTCCAGTACACTTAAAAGAACAATGGGCAACCTAGGGGTGGAATGTGAACTTTTTGGAGCTCCTGAAGACCTTTCCACATTATGTCCTCAAATTTGTGTGTGTTGGGTGTGGGATGGACATAAGCTCCTGATACCTGCTTGAGTTCCTAATATCAGAAAGGTGACATGTAATTAAAAACTGAAATAACAATATCATAAGAGCTAAAATAAATACAGGTAGTCCCTGGGTTATGACCACTCGTTCAGCAACCGTTCAAAGTTACGATGGTGCTGAACGAGGGGGACTTCCGACCGGTTCTTGAAGTTCTGGCCATCGCAGCATCCCCACGGTCATGTGATTGCGATTCGGGTGCTTGGTAACTAGCTCACAGTTACAATGGTTGCAGTATCCTGCAGTCACATGATCGCCATTTGCAACCTTCCCTGCCAGCTTCCCACAAGCAAAGTCAATGGGGAAGCCAACAGGAGTTCCAAGTCACTCCTGCTCCTGCTGCATTTTTGCCTGCCTGCCGGCAGCACCTACCCACCTGCCCACACCCCATGGTG